CTCGGTGGACCACGGCGTGGCCGGCGCCGCCCTCAGCTACCAAGGAACGCCGCCGCCTGCGGTGGCAGCTCTCGAGGCGGTTTGGCGGGCTCCCAGGTACTGCTCGGTGGCCGGCGACCTCGCGGATGCCCTGCATCCTACGCGGGGCCTGCCGCCAGGTGACCCCCCCTCGGGCCGGACCCTCAGCGTCGTGCTTCGACCCTGGCACAACGCGGTCCGCTCGGTTCCTAGGACCCGCGGGTGGTCCTACGTGGACGACCGATCCCTTAAGGCCGCTGCGGCGGTCGACCGGGACCGGGCCCTTGCGATCGCGGCGGAAATTGATCGGCGGCTGGGTTTTTCTGAAAATATCGGAAAACGGCAAGTGTGGTCGGGCACCCAGAGCGCCGAGCACTTAGGGGTTCGGGCTGCTGTGGGTGACGGCGCGGTCTGGCCTCAGCTGCCAGAGCCGCGCGACGGATGGGATCTGATCCGCGCCCAGGTGCGCCGGCTCCGCACGGTCCCCGGTGGGCAACGGATCCGGGAGCTGGCGGCCTTAATGTGCGTCGCCCCTAAGCACAGATGGTCGGCCCCTTTCTGCGCGATCCCGCCGTCTGATCTGATCGCGCTCACGCTCAGGTCTGTGGTCCGCACCCGCTGCGCGTGGTGGTGCGCTCGGCGATGGTACGCCGAACGGGTCTCGCTGCACCCCATTTTCGGCACTGCGTGCGCCGTTCTGAAGGCTGCTCGGGGGGTTCCCGCGTCGCGGCTGTTGTCGGTGGCGCTCTCGGAGCACTCCGGGGTCCTCGGGTTGCGCCCGGTCTCGGCCAGGCCGCTCCCTGAGGGCGCGTGGCTGCTCCCAGCTCCGGGGCTCGATTCTAGGGCTGCGGCGGCGGTCGCTGCCGCTGCTGCCGACGACAGCCGCGAAGCTCGAACCCAGACTCCCGAGGGCCGCCCCCGCCCCCCCCGGGGGGCTTCCGACGCCTCGTCCGATCGCGGGCAGCACGTGCTCCGGGAGTGCGCCCGGGCGGTGCTCCTTCGCCCACGGGGATCTCCTGGGCCCGCGCGCCACGACGAGGACGGTATCGGGGATATCGATTTGGCTGCTCAGAGCGCGCCGCCCTGGGCCCAGTTCCGGCGGTCGTTGGGGCGATTCGAGGCGACGTTGCTCTCGGTGTGGCGTGGCGGGGCGGTGAGCACGCCTACCCGCAGGCGTGGCTCTGCCTCTCAGGGCGGCGCGTGCGCCTGCCCCTTCGGATGCGGGCACGCCCTGGCCTCGGCTCGGCACTTCTGGGTCGAGTGCCCGCGTTTTGCCGGACGTCGCCTCGAGCTTGGGAAGGAGCTGCGGGTCGCGCCTGCCTGGTGGGGGGCCCAGCCCAGGGTCACCTCGAAGTCGGGGTGGATCACTAAGGTTGCTGGCGGCTCGGTTCGGCGCCGGGCTGAGCTGCAGGTGATGGCGTGCCGCCTCGGCATTGCCATTCTTCAGGCGCTTGCTGGCCTCTGCGGGGCCGGCCGCGGCGGCGGGTGGGCTTTCGGGGGCGCTGTCCATTCGCCGAGAGCTTTCCGGGGCCTCCCCCCCCTCCCCTCCCTGCCCCCCTCGGCGGGCGGCGGCGCGGCGGGCGGCGGGACGAGCGACGCCGACGCTGACGACCTCCCCCCTCTTCCTCCTGGTGGTGGTGGTGGTTGAGGTGTCGGTTGCTGCCGAAGTGGCTCGCTCCGGTCGTCACATGACGTCATTCCCGCTTCGCGCCCGGGCCCCCCCGGCCCGGGGGCGTCATAATTCCGCTTAGCGCCCGGGCCCCTCGGCTCGGGGGCTTTTCGAGATGTTTCACAGCGCTTCGCGCTGGCCCCAGCAGCCAGGGCAAAGGCACCTTGCTGCTGTCATTTTTGAGGAGGAGGAGGAGGATGAGGAGGAGGAGGAGGAGGAGGAGGAGATGGAGGAGGAGGAGGAGAGGAAGAGGAGGAGGAGGACGAGGAACTAGGAGGAGGAGGTAGGAAGGGAAGGATGAGGGAGGGAGGGGAGGATGGGAGGCGGAGGGGTGGGAAGAGAGGGGAGAGGGATAGGGGCAGAGAGAGGGATAGGGGCAGGAGGGAGGGGGAGGGGGAGGGAGGGGGGGAGGAGGAAGTGGGAGGGTTGGAGAGAGGGAGAGGGAGGGGAGGGGTAGGGAGGGAGGTGGAAGGAGGAAAGAGGAGGCTCCGACGAACGTTCATACGGGTTTTTTGGTGAGGCCTGTTCCTAGGGCGAATAGCAATGCCCTCGAAACGAGACAGACAGCGAGCACACACAAACAAAATCACAAATAAAAAAGGTAACACAAAAGAAAAACGGAAAACAGGGGCGCAAATCTTCCTCCCCTCCGGTTCGCCCGAGGGGGGGCCTTGGGCTTACCTCGGGGGCCGAGGTGCAGACAGCAGGGGGGAAGGCAACAGGAGGGGGAGTGGGCGCGGCCGCCGCCTACCTGGGAAGCTGGGTGCTCACCCTCCGCAGCGTGGGCGCCTGTCTGGACGAGCCCTCCTGGGCGCTGTTCAAGGAGCGCTGCCCCCCGGTGGCCGAGGCCATAGCGAGGGCGGAGACTCGGCTCCAGGCGCAGAGCGGGGGGTCTCTCGAGGCGATCGATTGGACCGGCTGCATGGGCGAACCACTCCAGGGGATGCAAGGGAAGTGGGCGGGCGACCTCCGCAGCAAGGCACGCGAGCGGCTGCTGGCCTCTCTGGGGACAGACGACAGGGTGGACTTCCGCTCGTCAGGCGGCCCCGGCGCAGGAGGGTACTTGGAGCCGCCCGTCGTCCGCGAGGGAGAGACGCCCGCTAGAATGCCAGACGAACGCTTCCGCATCGCCCTCAAGGACAAGCTGCGCCTGCCTGTGTGCCCGCAAGGCCGACGGAACGCTGTGCGGGGAGGCACTCGACCGACGCGGCCGCCACGCCCTGAAGTGCCCGTGCGGCCCCTACCGCAACAACAAACACAACGGCCTCTGGGACTTCTGCGCCAACTACCACCAGCGGACCACGGGACACGCAGCGCAGACGGAACAACGAGTTGTTGCTTGGGTCAGGGTGAACCCGCGGACAGGGCGCCTCGAAGAAGCGCGGCTCGACGTCGCCACCCGCGACGCGGTGACCGGCCAGACAGTGTTCTTGGACACGAGCGTGACCTGCGCGCACAGCGGCACCGCGCCGCGCCAGCAGGCTCGCTCGAACAAGGACGGCCTCGCCGCCACCAGCGCGGAGGACGCCAAGCGGGAGCGCTACCCGCCCGAGGTGGGCCCAATCATCCCGGTCATCTTCGAAACAAGAGGCCGCCCGGGAGACGCCACCGTTGCGTACGTCCGCTCCTGGGGTCACGACGTGGCCCCTGCGGAGCGGACAGAGGTCATCCGCTATGGGTGGCAACAGCTCAGCACCCGGCTGCATCTCGGCAGCGCCGAAACTATCTTGGCGGCCGTCGGGCGCTGAGGCTCTACCAGGAGCGCCCCGACTCTCTTGAGCCGACGCTAGCAGGAAGGCGCTAGCAGGGCCACTGCCCGCGGCAACACCCGCGCCGACAACGACGCAGGGACCACGACGCCGACGACGGCGACGGCTGCGCGGACGGGCTCTGCTGCCCACCCCGCCCCCTCGCGCTTCTTCGCCGCCCCCCGCGCGCCCCCCACCGCCGACGACCGCTACGCGGGCGCGGGGAGGATGGTGGCGAGGGTGGCCGAAGCCTCCTCCCGCGCAGACCCCCGGTACCCCGCCGGCCCCGCCGCTCGGTCGGCGCGTCCGCGCGTGCCCCCGAGGGCGGAGGACGGCCCGCCGCGCCGCGCCGGGCGACGCCGCCGGCCAGACCCAGCGGTGGGGGGGGGGGACCTGCTTCTCACCGCGAACCACGGCCCTCTCACGCTCGACCGGCACCACCGCCGCCCCCGCCCCCCACCGCCGACGACCGCTACGATGGTGGCGATGGTGGCCGAAGCCTCCCGCCCCCCGGACCCCGCCGCGGTGGCCTCCGCCCTCCGCCCCCGCCGACGTGATTCGACGCCCCCTCTCCTCCTCCTCTCCTTCGGCCGGTCGCCCCTGCTTGTTTTCTCCTCCTCCCCCGGTTTCACCGGCAGCGCGGCGCGCAACCGGGAGGGGGGTCTAGCGCCGACCCAGGAGGGCTCCGCGCGGACCCCCGTTTGGCAGGTGGGCTGTTCAGGACTACCTCCCCCCCCTGCTGCTGCTGCTGGCCCGCCTCTGTCCCTTCTCTCCTTCGGCGTGGAGGAGGAGGAGGAGGAGAAGGAGGAGGAGGAGGAGGAGCAGGAGGAGGAGGAAAAGGAGGAGGAGGAGGAGGAGGAGGAGGAGATTAGTTGAGGGAGGATGAGACGATGCGGGTACGGAGGAGAGAGGATGTGTAGAGTAATATAGGATGTATGCTGATGGAGGCTGGCTGGGGCGAGTGTGGGAGATGAATGGCAAAAGGAAGTGGAGGAGGATGTAGTGATGAGGCAGAGGAGGATGATGATGAGCATATTATGCATTAGTAGTTTGTTTGGATTACTAATGCTGATGATTAGATTATGATATGAGTGAGGAGGCTGATGATTGAGGCTTATGTGCAGTTAATATGTAGTGTTTATGTAGGTAATGGATTATTAGGAGCATTATATTTTAGATGAATGAGGTATGTAATTAAATAGTATGAGTTAGGAGTTAGATGAGGTTAGGATTGAGGGACTTGTAGTGGGATATTAGGATTAGTACGTAGTATGAGTTATGATGGAGAGTTATGAGCTGAATTATGATTAGTAGTGAGTATGATGGTTATCATCCCCCCCTCCTCCTCGTCCTCCACCTCCCTCTTCCGCTCCCGCTCCCTCCTCCTCCTGCCTCCTCTACCGGCCTTCTGTTTTGAAATGCGGAGGGAGGGAAGGAGGAAGGAGGAGGGAGGGGGGATGACGAGCAGGAGGGAAAAGGGTATGGGGAGGACATGGGGACGAACAGGACGGAGAAGAAGTGGGAACAATGAGGACGAGGGCGAAACGGGCAAGGAAAACGGGAAGGAATGAACGGAATTTGAAGGGCTTCGGATTCGCGGTGTAGACAGAGCTGATGATAGCAGCCTCGCTCGACGCTCTGCGCCACAATTCGAGCTCCACCCGTGATAAGGGCGACGGCCAGGCAGAAGGCGAGGAGAAACTCGAGCAGATTAGGCTGCACTGTTATGACCTCTTGGAAGCTGTTGGAGCATGGGGGGGGGGGGTGGACGAGGAGCGGCGTCCTGAACCGCCACGCTTCGCTCCCGTATGCGCGCCCGAAAGGGAGACAGGCCGAACGGCCGCCGTAGCAGACAGTCGCCGCATGCGCGAGGCCGGGATTCATATTAGAAGTCCAAGTCCTGGGAGATCGGTTCCCATGGCGGTGGATCTGTGGATGAGAAGGCAACCTCCTGGTAGGTCTTTGTGAAAAGAAGGAACGTTTGTTAGGCTCGGTTAAAAGGGCCATAGAGTCGAAAACAAGCTGGTAAGCTTAGGTATGTGTTACGCTTTAAGCGTTGCCATATCCCAGGCTTTGGCTCATATCGCATGAGCAAGAGAGCAAGACGAAGCATGGGATCTGGAGTAAAGGATAGGATGGGCATCGTCAATGGAAAAGGTATTTTCCGATCTCAGATACAAGTCGTGCGCCTCGGCGAGGCACAATCACATATTTGGCCGGGCCCGGCTTGAGCCAGGCACGGCAGCGGTGCATGCTCGATTTACACCTCGCCTTTAACCTTCTCCGTTTAAAGTCGGAGGGGGAGGAGACGAGCAGGCACCGCGCTTCTACATTACGCGGAAAAAACAGTGCTAAGCAGCAGCGGCTGCCTACAAGGCAAGGGCGCGCGAGTAGCCTCGCCACCGGCGAGTTTCCTCGCTACTAGAGCGCACCTGCACGCGGGTTTCCCCGCTAGCTCGGGAGGCAGGGCCGTCCTGAGACGACCTGCCCGCCCTATGCGGTGTATGTTTCTTCAGCTCGTGCTTGAAGGATTGCTGGCCGGCCATTACTTGTGGGAGCAACGCGCGGTCAATACTACCTTTGGTATGACCATCGGCAGTCATATCCCGCGTGTCACACCATTGAACGCTTTCAACGATTCCGCGCTCCATCATCTGGCGGATCCAGCTAATGTGCCCAAGCAGAGTACATTCTGTGGGCTTCTGCAGATCTTTGCTAGACAAAGACTTGAAGACAGACTCGGCATCAATAGTCAGAGTGACTTTGATACATAGACCACCCATTTCCAATATGTTCTTTAACTGTGTGGGGGTCAATGGTCCCGAGTGTAGCTCGTGGAGCGTTACAATGGTCGGGTAGCAGTCCTCCAAGTTGTGGGCTGCTGCCAGTGTTTCCGCAGAGTAGCTCGAACGCACCTGCAGTCGATGAGACTTGCAGTATGCGTCCACCAGGTGCACGACGGGTTTCCCCGCTTGCGTGTGGCCGCGCCTCAGCAGGTTAGCCCCGCGGATACCATAGCCTTTGACTTCGTCGTCTTCATCTCCGTTGAGACGACGATAGCCAGAATCGCTATGCAGGTCGACTTCTACTGTTGGGGTCATAGCTTGATACACGATCTTCTTCGGACCTGCCTGTAGTTTTCTGGTAACCGCGTTTAGTCGTCGTACCTGGATGTTTGTCGGTTCCTGGATACGTTGTAGTGAGACAACATAGACCATCAGCCATACCTGCGTGATCAACGCATAGGCTAGAGCGCCACGAAGACTGTCGAACATATCAGAAATCGTCTTTGTCGCTTTGCTCTCAGGATCAGCTCCTGTGAGTTCTGGATGTGTGATAGGACGAAGCTGTTTGATGTATTCGTCCTGATCAAGAGTGACGCTCCCATCATCGGTCTTGTTGTACCGAACGGCACAGTTTGTGTATGTGTGCTTGTTCAGTTTGCACTTCCCAAACGTATCTTCAACGCACTTGACATACTTGTCAATAGCCTCTTCCTTCCAGTCATATTGATGTCATCAACGTGCTTGGCTGTCAAGAGGTTTGAGCTCATCTCGAACTCTTCGTCGTATGAAGTAGGCTGTAGCCCAAAGCTCCTAGTGATGGACCTGAGCTTCAGCGAGAATGCCCTGGGGGCATCCTTCGTGCCCGTCCCCGGCTTCAGACACCGAAGACAATGCTTTGATTCGTCATATGACTCAAAGCCTGGCAGTGTGCGAAGGACAGCTGCTGACCCAGGTGGTAGTGTGAAGCACACCACGCGCTCTTTCTCGCCCGTTGCCGCGGCGAGCTCGCTATAGGTCAATCCCTTCAAGAAAGCCATGTTGATGTCCAGGGAAGCGATGATCCAAGCTTTGTTGCATGCAGCAGAACTTGCGAGCAGTCTCTGGCTTGACCTCCTTGCCGTGCCAGAGAAGGTTTCGACATCAAAGGCTTCAAGGTCCATGAAGCCACGGAGTACCAAGCGTAACCTGATCGTCCTTTCCATTTCGCCCTTTTCGTTCTTGACAAACTTCCATTTGTATACGTAGCGTGAAGCCATGATGTTAGACGCTTTGCTCAAGTCAGTCATCTGGAAGCATTTGTTGTCAAGCCAAGTCTTCAATTCTGTGTAAAGGGCTTTGGAAACTTTGACCGGATTTGCTTGGATGTCGGCCTTCGTGAGTAGATCGTCTTCCTTGACGACCACTGCACGTTTGGAAGCAGCACTAACGTATACTCGCATAGTTGTGACGCTGCTGTCATCCAACAATCGGTGTTGCTGCTCGGACAGGACGACTTTGGACATGTCTGCAGTGAAGCATAGCTCGATGTACTTCCCGTGCTCATCGGAGTCCAGATCATATTTGCTATCCGGATCCGTGGAGCATAAAGGAACGTAGTAAGAAGTGTCCATGTCGTATCCTGTCGGGCGACCCCGCTCCGGCAAGTGGCCTTGCACATCTTCACAGGTCGTAGAGACTAACACACACTGTGTGTCTGTCATGTATGTGGGAACTGCATGCATGACTTCTTCTGTGTCAGCTTCAAGGAGTGTTCTGTCATCCATCAGTTCAGCATACCACGACTTCAAGACAAAGGCATCCAGATCTTCTTCTGTTTCCTCTATGATGGTCGGGAGCCGACCATCGTTATCCGTAGGAGGCTCCTCAGGAGCAGCTGCTGGAGGTGACTCGCTTGGTGGTGGACCATCAGCGAGTTCCTCAAACTTAGTGAGGTCTTGGTCAAATCCAGCAGACGGCTTCCTGGATTTAAGACACTGGATGATGCGTGAGTGTGTAGATCCTGTGATGTCATAGATGTTCAAGGCAGTGCCATCAGCTTCATAGTAATGAAAACCAGGGGTCACATCATTATCATAGTGCACTAGTGTACAGCTGTCTGCATAAGGTGCAGCAGGCAACTTCGCCAGGCTCTTGGCAAGTCGTACAGCAACAACGTTTTCAATACGAAAGTAGTTGCGTATGAGGTACTGAAGAGCCAAGTGCACCTTAGGCGAAAGTCGGCTCGCAGCAGTCATCTGCAGCCGACCCTGTTTCGCTGGTAGATATCCGAAAGTCATGGCGGGTTTCCCCGCTGGCAGACCGGCAATAAAGGCCAATACTGTCCGAAGGGCCGTATTTTCCGATCCTATCTCGCGGACCATAAGTGCTTCGATGTACAGCGTGTGTCGTGTGTCAGGATACTGTACTCGCACCTCGCGACTACCGACCTTCACGATGACCTGGCCTCGGTCAGGTTCGTTGCGGATGACCGGGTATGGGCCACTCCATCCACCCCAGTCGTCTTTCGTGGTGGTCGGGCGATGATAGTCCACGAGATCTCCCTCTTTGTAGTGAAATTCACCCGTAGCAGTAGTCTTCGTACGGAGAGCCCTGTTCTTCTTGGCAACCGCAGTGGCCTGCGTGATTGCCTCCAGACTAACCCTCCTGATTGTTTCCTCCCTTGAGTGATCTGATGATTCAGCGGACTGATCATGATCCAAGACAGGGAAATCGGGAAGCATAGCTGGTTGTCTGCCATACAGCGCATTGTACGGAGACACTTCATTATAGAAGGTAAATGCGTTGCTGGCAAACAAGGCTTCATGTAAGAGACGAGTGAAATTGAGAGGGATATTTAATCTATTCAATTCTTCTCCCATCACGTGTAGGAGGTGTCGCAGGATGCCGTTCCTAGCTTCGATAGTTGTAGCGCGTTGGCCACGCGCTCGAATACGAAGCTCTGTTCCCTTAGCCTTAAGGATGGCCTTTGCTGTATAATTATTCAGTGCTCCTTCCCCATCGGAGTATAAGATTTTAGCAGGGCCATGTTGCATCCAAGTCGTATGATAGGCATCGAGAACAGTATGCATGGCTTTATCAGGAATCTCTGTGCCAGCTGCCCAGCGAATACAACGGTCGATGATGTGAAAAACAATATGTTCCTGTTTGTAAAAAAAAGATCACATTCGACTTCCTCGTTGAAACGTCCTGGCAGTGACACAGAAGGCATCACCGTGTTGCCTGGTTTGTCCCAGGCTCGACATTCTCTACACGAGTCACAAATGCCTTTGATCAGACTCAAACGGGTTTCACCCAGACCAACCTTGGTTAGAATCATCCGCATTTTTGTCTCCTTGGCATGAAACCATCTCAGGTGGAGTTTGCGGAGTTCTCGCTGCACTACAGCTGGGTCGAAGCTGCGCAGGTTTTGGAGGCTGAGCTGAACGTCGAAGCGAGTCCAATCAGGGAGCCTTGGCCTTGGCCTCGGCTCTGCTTGAGGCTGCGGCGGTGGTGGAGGATCTCCTCCCTCCATGCGTCCGCGCCTTGCTGCAACTTGTGGCAGCCTACGGTGATCGTCAGAGCTGCCAGCGCCAGTGTTGCCACCATTAGCCCCTTCGGCTCTGGTGATGTCATGGCTGCTGGCGCCTGCGGTTGGATCGCCCTCACCAGGCCGTGGCGGCCTAGGCGCGCGTATGCGCGCTCTCGCGGCCGGCGCCGCTTTTGCGGCTGGCGCCGCTTCTGCGGCTGGAGCCGCTTCCGCGGCTGGCGCCGCAGAAGCGGCTTGCCCCGCCGGGCGCGGCTGGCCAAAGTTATCTGGCAGCTTCCATTTTTCGGCGAATCTGCATTGGCCAGATATCTTGGTGTGGTGAGGATTGCTCTTCTGATATTCCTTCTTACAGCTTGGACAGTCCCAGCAATCCGGTTCAACATCATACCACCGACACATCTTCGGATCC